TGATTGTTAGCTGACTGGTTGGTTAAATGGTTATTTGATTGTTAGCTGGCTGGTTGGTTAAATGGTTAGTTGATTGTTAGCTGACTGGTTGGTTAAATGGTTAGTTGATTGTTAGCTGACTGGTTGGTTAAATGGTAAGTTGATTGTTAGCAGACTGGTTGGTTAAATGGTTAGTTGATTGTTAGCTGACTGATCGGTTAAATGGTTAGATGATTGTTAGCTGACTGGTTGGCTAAATGGTTAGTTGATTGTAGCTGACTGGTTGGTTAAATGGTTAGTTGATTGCTAGCTGATTGCTAGCTGACTGGTTGGTTAAATGGTTATTTGATTGTTAGCTGACTGGTTGGTTAAATGGTTAGTAGATTGTTAGCTGACTGGTTGGTTAAATGGTTAGTTGATTGTTAGCTGGCTGGTTGGTTAAATGGTTAGTTGATTGTTAGCTGGCTGGTTGGTTAAATGGTTAGTTGATTGTTAGCTGGCTGGTTTGTTAAATGGTTAGTTGATTGTTAGCTGACTGGTTGGTTAAATGGTTAGTTGATTGTAAGCTGACTGGTTGGTTAAATGGTTAGTTGTTAGCTGACTTGTTGGTTAAATGGTTAGTTGATCGTTAGCTGACTGGTTGGTTAAATGGTTAGTTGATTGTTAGCTGACTGGTTGGTTAAATGGTTAGTTGATTGTTAGCTGACTGGTTGGTTAAATGGTTAGTTGTTAGCTGACTGGTTGGTTAAATGGTTAGTTGATTGTTAGCTGACTGGTTGGTTAAATGGTTAGTTGATTGCTAGCTGACTGGTTGGTTAAATCGTTAGTTGATTGTTAGCTGACTGGTTGGTTAAATGGTTAGTTGATTGTTAGCTGACTGGTTGGTTAAACGGTTAGTTTATTGTTAGCTGACTGGTTGGTTAAATGGTTAGTTGATTGTTAGCTGACTGGTTGGTTAAATGGTTAGTTGATTGTTAGCTGACTGGTTGGTTAAATGGTTAGTTGATTGTTAGCTGACTGGTTGGTTAAATGGTTAGTTGATTGTTAGCTGACTGGTTGGTTAAATGGTTAGTTGATTGTTAGCTGACTGGTTGGTTAAATGGTTAGTTAATTGTTAGCTGACTGGTTGGTTAAATGGTTAGTTGATTGTTAGTTGACTGGTTGGTTAAATGGTTAGTTGATTGTTAGTTGACTGGTTGGTTAAATGGTTAGTTGACTGGTTGGTTAAATGATTGACAGGTTGATTAATTGTTAGTTGACTGGTTGGCTGATTGATTCATCATCGTCATCAATTTCTATTTCTGCCGTTAAGCATTGTGGGTAGGAACAGTTTTTGATCCATTGCTTGATGAACAGCAATGGCTATTGTCGTACTGTGTCGATGTAGAAACTTTACAATGTCATCAATCCATATTCTCCTAGGGCAGCCTCTTGCTTTGACTTCAGAACTCTTCATGTGAGGCACTTGTATTGGTAGTTGTTTTAGCTGTTTTCTGACTAAATGACCAAACCATTTCATCTTCTGTTTCTCAATGAATTTGCTGCATGGTGGTTGTTCCTACAGTCCTACAGATTTCATTTCTAACCTTGTCTCGGATGGTTAAGCTGAAGGCTTTTCTCAGGCATCTCATTTCACAGGTGTTACATTTTATTAGGTTAGCTTTTGATAATGTCTAAGTCTTGCACCAGTAGCTTACGAAGGTTAGCTTTTGATAATGCCCAAGTCTGGCTCTGGTAGCACAGTGTTGGTATGAATATGCTGTTTATAATCTGTTTCTTGGCTCTCATACTTATGTTTGGATTTCTTAATAACGGTGCCAGTTGTTTTTAAAGTGCACTGGTTTGTTGGCATCTTGTTTCTATTTCCCGATCTATTCTTCCTCTTCTGATAATATACTTCCTAGATACAAGGTCCGACAAATAATGAGACTGTTTTTATTATGGCCAAGACAAAAATGCCATCTATGAATCAAAGCATGAAATCCAAAAAGGCAACCTTTATCTATGATCTGGCAACTTTTCATCACCGCCCGACAAGCAGACAAAAAACAAGCCGCGCCGCCATTTTGTTAACCCAGTCATAGGTGCATTGTTACATAATCATCATTGACCAGAAAAAAAATGCTAACATTAAGTTGTTTAAAACTCAGAAAAAAGGTCATTGCGACAGTTGAATCGATGACAAGTTTATGGGGATAATTGTTTGTCTCGTGCACAGATTTTCAGCTGGTATTCACAATTCAAAAGTGGTGTGGAAATGATTACTAATGCAACTAGACCTGGACGCCCAATTTCTGTTCATATTAAGGAACTCGTTGCAAAATTCTGAGAACTGGTACAAGAAGATCTTTTTGGACGTGAGGATGATGGTAGAAAAATTTGGTGTTCATTCAGAGACTATTGGTAAAATTTTAGTGGAAGATTTGGGCAAGAAAAAAAATTCCTTGTCGGTTTGTATTCAACACCTGGCAATTGTTTTCCTTTTTCATGACAATGCACCAGCTCAAAGGGCGGTAGTTGTACAGGAATTTTTGGCCCAAAAACAGATGTGTATTCTTAACCATACACCCTATTTCCCAGATTTGTATCACTGACTATTTTCTATTCCCAAAATCAAAGTTGCTATTGAAAGGACCCTTCTTTTACAATACTGATGGCATCCAAAAGGCCGTAACATCGACTTTAAGGGCCATAACAATAGAGCTACAGTGGTCGTTCCAGTGTTTGTTTGATCGTGCCACTCGCTGTATCAAAGCCCAAGAGGACTACTTTGAACAGGTTATATCTCCAAGTGTTGATTATTTTAATTTTTATAGAATTAGTCTCATTACTTAATTGTCGGACTTTGTATTTATTTAAAATCTATAGTTGCTTCAGACAAGTACCATTCTGATCAACCTGATATGTAGCGGACTAGGAATTGTGCTGACCCGCATTACTTCAGTTTTAGTATTTGCTGATCGACTGACTGACTTAATTGTTTAACTGTTACAGTAGACAACTGGGTTGAAATGAATGCTTAGCTGATTGAAAGGGTTAACTGATTGCTCGACTGTTAGTTGAATTCCCAGCATGAGTGCCAGGACCCCATTGTGAGGAATAACAAGAATAGACCCACTGCCTCCCCAACAAGTATGTCGAAGTCGAGAAATTTGGGGCATCGTTTGAATTCGGAGTACATCTGCCAGAGAGGTGTAGGTACCAACGGTCTGATAACAAATAAGCCAGAAACAAATGTGGCACATAAAACTCTGGAACAAGACTGAAGTCCAGAAGTGTACAAACAACTAGAACCTTCTGCAGGAGTTTACAGTAAGGGAGCACAAAAAAGAATTCTTCTAATGAACCACACAGTGCTAAACAAAAACAAATATAATCTGCACATTTTCTTTTATTACATAAAGAGGTACATATTAAAATCATATTAACAGCAATTCATATGCAACCATGGCTGTAAGTTGTGAACATGCTAAAGGTGAACAAAGATCATACAGGCACACCAGCCACAAATTCATACACCCGAATCATACAGACTGATTATCTACAAATTCATACACACACGGTACGAAACAACAGAGTGGCGGGATCTACACATCAAACTTGTGTTTCTTGAATCAGTTTCAACAAGAGGTCATAAGTCCACCAGTTTTTTTTAAAAACTAATTCAAGTAGTATTCTTGAAAAGAAACACAAAAACTGTGTGTCGTTTCTACAATAAAGGTTGGCTAGTGTGTGCCCCCTGCTAACTTGGGAATATTCATGTTATCAGCTCCAAATGACTTAATGGTATTACTCTCACACCACTGTGCTGAAGCCATAATAGGTTTTATTTTAATTTTTTTTTTTATTTAATAAAGTCCACTGTAAAAATCAAACCCTATTAAATGTATTCAGGGACTATCAAATTTGTAATTCCAAAGCATAACAAACCATCACCTTGGACACCTGTAGTTCTTCTTCTGCCTTCATCCGAAGATGTAGCTGCATTGTTCCTGTTTACAGCACGGCTGCAACATTTGCTTTACATTTCGCTTTCGGCCGCCCTCTGCAGGCATTCATTGCCTGGGTTAGGTTTCTCAGTTAGTTTCGTGGGATACTACAATCTCATTGCTATGTGGTCATCATTATTAGCTCACAGGTGGTCCCGTCCATTAGACCAGTCCAGTGCAGCCAGGCAATGCTGGTCAGCCCTCAAGAGAAGGCAGGGACAGAACTTTCTTTGCCATCCAGTGCTGTAGTTATTCCAAGTCATAAAAGAGTACCTGACAACATCACTCACTCAGCCCCTGCCAAGAGATCTACAAATCACTGTGGGGGTTCCAGGCCCTATTCTGGGGTGGAGGGGTGGGGGTGAAATACCCTCTGCCCCCTTAACAAGCATGTCGTGCAAAGTCGACTAATTAGGGGTGTTTCCTCTTAAATCGGATTGCATCCGTCTGAGGCAAAGAACCCAGTCTGCATACAGATCTGTAAAACATGTTCTTACAAACTCAAGTTCTGCACCAAGACTAAAGTTCAGAAGTGATCGAACAACCAGAACTTTCTGCTAGAGTTTACAGCTGGTAAACACTAAAAAGAAAAAGGTCTGTAAATAATATGGATCTAAGAACAGATAACATGAAAACAGGCCAGTTTAAATTTGTATAAGAAACTCACTCACCATAACAAATTCACTTTCGTGGATAAGTGGTTCATTCAGTAAGAATTTTTTTTTATAGCTTCATAATCCGGAATCAGAAATAATACATCAAACCATCTTTCACACAATACAATGTACTGTGAAGTATAAATAGCCTTTGCCTTCAAAACTTCTAAAGACATAAAAATGTAACTATAACCTACAAAATGATGTTCTGAAAAAGGCACAATGTTGATATGGCATAAATACAGGTGACCTGAAATGAGAATAAAACCATCTACAAACAAGCTGAGACACAAATATGCAGTAAAAGAACAATTTTCTGGCATTCCAACACTCACACGCTCCCACACAGCTGCCTAAAGAAAACTGAAGACTGGTCTCATGAAATCACCTGCAGAAAAAAGAAAACAGGAAGTTTAAATTTTACGAATAACATGTTTGGAAATGTAAGAAATTGTTACTGAACAATAGTTGTGTGGAAAGTGCAGAGATCAGAGATCAATGAAACATGAGAAAACTATGAAAGTGTAAGATCTTCCTTTTCTTGTTCATCAGATGTAAAATTCTGGCAGAAAGTTCTGGTTGTTCGTTCACTTCTGGACTTTAATCCTGTCCCAGAACTGGAGTGTTGAGTGTACATCTATTTTGCAGAACTGATTCAGCAGACTTTTGGTTCCTTGCCTCTCAGGCAGATGAGCTCGGACTTCGAAGGAAGCTACCAATCAGTCGACTTACGACACGCTTGTTGGGGAGGCAGTGGATCTATTCTCCCCCCCCCCCCCCGAACCCACACAAAAATGTAATGGAGATCAGGGGATGACTTTCTTCTATGTTGCTCTTACGACGGTGGGCATATTGTTTTGTGGTTTCCAGCTAGGCTGTGATATCTGCACCTTTCAGCAAACTCCTAATTAGCCACCTTCTACAACAGGCTTGTTAGGGGAATATTATGTTTTCTTCCCAGAATGGGGCACCCACAGCCCACAAAGGTAATGAAGAGAACCGATTTCCCACATTAGAAGAAGATTGTTGTCCGGCCCCGTCATGTGAAAAACAAGAGTATGCTGTGACAATGGGAAAGTCTGAGAGGAAGAGTGGCAGAGGAAGAATAAGAGTGAACATGCCAGACAGTGGTGGCATACAGAAACCTCTGGTTCAAGAATGCTGGAGACAAACACCAACTGAAGATTATGGACAGATGACTATTATCAGCCCAGGACTATAAGGCAGAAATTGTGTGCAGAAACGGTACTCGATGGATGATGCGGTCAACGTCATGCCAGCCATCTTTACTTCCCATAAAATTACCATTTCTCACTGGATCAGCCTGAGATTTAAGGTCACTTCTGAAGAAATCTGCCTTCAACCCAAGACCTTTGGACTAGCATACTTCTTGATCACATTCAGCAGCTGTAAACTCTGGTTCTGGGTGTTTGCCACCTCTAGACATTAGTCTTGTTCAAGAACCCGAGTGCTATGTTCAGATCCATTTTACGGATCTGGTTTTATAGTATGCAGACACTCGTTACTTGCCTCTCAGGCAGATACACTCCGATTTCGAAGCAAACCCAGTCAACTCTTACGACATGCCTGTTGGGAAGGCAGTGGTTCTATTCTTGTTTTTCCCCATAATGTGGCCCCGGAACCCACAAGGGAAGAGGTGGCACACAATGTCCTAGCTTCTTCGCTGCTACAGCACTCAACAACATATGAATGTTGAATTAAGAATCAACATCACAGCACTCGGGACACACCCATAAGTGCTCAGTCCCCATCTTCAGCAGCAAGCAAAGAGCTCCAATTCTGATGGTACCAGTAACCATCTGATTGTATATCTGTCTCATCCTTTCCCTGTGTGTTGAGCATCCGTCAGATCCCCTGGTAACTCCTCGCAGCGCCATTCTCCTTAGACCGTAATGATCTATCTGCGCCTCTGCACTGTTCTTCACTCGCTCCCAAAGGGCCCTTACAATATCTAACTTGTCATACATCAATTCACCACCAAGTGATGCAGAGCCAGCCAGTCTATCTGCCTGCTCATTTCCCAACACACCGGCATAACCTGGAGAAAATATCCAAATGATGCTAACTACCCGGGACCTCTAAAGTGATGCTTGCCACTCTGCACGAAGCATGCCTGTTTTCACCGTTCTCAACATGAGTCAGTTACAATCATGGCATGTATGTACAACAACATATGCTGTGGCAGAAATCTTACCTCTCTTACTGTGTCTTTAATAAAGTCCTTCCTATCTGACAAATCAAATGATGGATACTTGGCATATACCTGACAAAGAAAAAAAAAATGTCATGAGATGCAACAAATTTACTATTCTCATTCAACACAAAACATTGGTGAGTTAACTCACTCAGTACCAAACAACGCACCATGTGTTTATTAGTTTCTACTCACATGTTATAATTCTCCTTCTAACCTTATCTTGTTACATTAACTCATTTTACAACAGTTTTTACCTGACATCCTTCTATACCAGTGTTATAAATGTTAGTTTTTCAGATTCAAGCATTTATGAAAGTAATAACATCTGGCCAGGAACTTGAAAAAATGAACTACTCATTACATTTGTCAACCGAACCATTTAAGACCAGAAATGAGTTAATTACCCAGTACATCTGTTTGCAGAACACCAGCAATATTTGAAACCAGAAATAGTTTGTTTGCAGAACTATCACCGATTTCAGAAACCAGAAATGGTTTATTTGCAGACTACCACCGATTTTAGAAACTTGAAATGAGTTAATAACCCAATACATCTGTTTTCAGAACTATCAGTAATATTAGAAACCAGAAATGAGTGCATTACCCAGTGCAGAATCACCAACAATATCAGAAACCAGAAATGAGTGCATTACCCAGTGCAGAATCACCAACAATATTAGAAACCAGAAATGAGTGCATTACCCAGTGCAGAATCACCAACAATATCAGAAACCAGAAATGAGTGCAATACCCAGTGCAGAATCACCAACAATATCAGAAACCAGAAATGAGTGCATTACCCAGTGCAGAATCACCAACAATATTAGAAACCAGAAATGAGTGCATTACCCAGTGCAGAATCACCAACAATATTAGAAACCAGAAATGAGTGCATTACCCAGTGCAGAATCACCAACAATATTAGAAAACAGAAATGAGTGCATTACCCAGTGCAGAATCACCAACAATATTAGAAACCAGAAATGAGTGCATTACCCAGTGCAGAATCACCAACAATATCAGAAACCAGAAATGAGTGCATTACCCAGTGCAGAATCACCAACAATATTAGAAACCAGAAATGAGTGCATTACCCAGTGCAGAATCACCAACAATATCAGAAACCAGAAATGAGTGCATTACCCAGTGCAGAATCACCAACAATATCAGAAACCAGAAATGACAAATTAGTTAATTATCCAGGGCATTTTTGCAGAAGTAAAGTAATGGTTCCTTTTCCACGCCTTCAGGCATACTGGGCATAAAGGGCTAGATCTATATTTTCTACCGCAATTAGCACTTGGCAGGTGATGTGGTCAACATCGTGCCGGCTACCTTTACTTCCCAGGACTAAACCCGGTACTCACTCAAGGCCGGGCCGACCTGAGAGCCAAGGTCATTTCTGAAAAAAAAAGTCCAGCTGTTTCAGGGCCTCCTGACCAATAAGCCAGCGTCTAGCCGCTACAACAGGTTATCTCCCTTTGTTTCCAGAACCACTAGCAATATTAGACACCAGATGTGAGTTAATTATTTAGTACAGTAACAGCCAAGAAATGAGTTAATTACAGAAGTAGAAGAGAAATGCAAACTGATTACTACTACTATACATGACAGGGCAGATGTGGTCAAGGCCCTTTGGGAACAATTAACGGAATCAGTAGAGAAACAAGATTATTATGGCCTGGAGAGAATGAGGCACCTGGGTGTTACCAGAGGGTCTGGCCAGCTCACCACACTCAGAGGAAAGGCAAGACGGACATACAACCAGATTGTGATTGGTACCATCAGTATTGGAACTCTGCGCTGGCTGCTGAAGATGAGGACGGATTACACATGGGAATGCCCCAAGTACTGTGATGTCAATTCTTGACTCAGTTCAACTCAACTCTACTTCGTTCACCGGCTGTAAGCTCCGGCAGAAATGCCTGGGTTTTTTAGTTCACTTGGAATATGGCTCTGTGCCAGGGTCTGAGTTGTGTGGGTACACCCATTTTACTGGCTCATTTGTATGCAGCTGGTTTTCCTTGCACCTCGGGCAGATGCACCCTGACCTTCAATTAGTCAACTCCTACGACATGCTTGTTGGAGAGACAACTGGTCTTTTTCTTGTGGGACAAACTGATAACAGAAATACTTCCTTTATCCTGCACTTTAACCCTTGTTGGAGCTTGGGCCCTGAACTAACTCAAACCAACCTAATCCAATCCTTTGCTATATCTAGAACAATGACTGTTATACCGAGAAGGCTCATTCAAATGGTCTAACTGGTACAAGTACACCATTCACGACTAATAACTGTATGAGATGGTGAAACATCACTGCCTAAACTTGGCATGACACAGGATTGTAAAACTTGATTAATTTGCAAAACAAGAAAGAAACCATAGAGAAGTATAATCGTACCTGTTTAACCACGGTTTTCATTGTTACTGTTTCCAGGTCGGCACCATCCAAAATTTTCTTGACTAAATCTTTAATCTCTGCATTCTGAAGCAAACCATACATTAAACAGTGTTATTAACACTTTTATGATTTTTTTAATATAAAAAAAAATTTTTTTTTTACATGTGTGTACATAGGGTGATGAGAAGAGAGAAGGGATAGAGACAGATAAACAACACCATTAGAATAGATTTTTTTTAAAGGCTGGATATGTCATCATAGTTGCTCATTACTAACTGTCTTCTGAAGACGAAGAAATCAAAGTCTGAGTCTGACATATCAGAATTCTGTTGCAATAAAAGTCCCATAAAACATTTGCTGACTGAAATCATCACCAAGTGCATTGCCTAGTAGCATGGGTGACCACATTTCTCTCGAATCTGCAACTTCAACAGCAATATCAGCTCATGTGCTGACACCCCTCCTTACCATGATAAAAGGCTGTCAAGAATCTTCTTGCATTGTCTTCCTCTTCTATCTCTTTTTCAAAGATCTTTTTGAGAGAAAAAAAGAAAAATGCTTACCGTCTCTTTCTGATGTTTGGCTGACTGTCCAAGGAATTTTAATGTGAAACAATGACATGAAACATGTGCACACATTTGAGATACTTACAGTAGGTGGAGATTTCTTCATTTTAGCAATAGGCTCATCCTCAGAATCTTCAGACATTGAGTCAGATTCTTCGATAGCTGTGATGAGGGAGAAAACCCAGTGATGTTAACAATTAACTACAGAAATAACAGATTCAAAATGAAGACTGCACTACAGACAGACAGAGAAAGAGATACAGAGAGAGAGAGAGAGTGAAGGGGGGAAGAGAGAGAGGGGAGAGGGATGGGGAAAGAAAGAGAGAGATGGAAAGGGAGGGGGAGGGAGAAAGGGGAGGGTGATATATATATAAAATCACAACACCTAAAATTCTGATGGCTAATAAACTGCAGTGGTGTAGCATGCGAGATGGTGGGCGTAGGTGACAGCAGCAATGCATCTGAAGGGCTCAGAATGCTGGAGAAGAAAAAGATTCCCCATGTGTGTTCTGGGGGCTCCACTGTCAGGAAAATAAGCATGTCGTAAGAGTCGACTAATAAGGGGCTTCCTTGGAAGTCAAAGTGCCATCTACTTGAAAAACGAGGAACCAACAATCTGCATACAATTAAGTCAGATCTATTGAAAAGATGCGCATGCAACACTCAGGCTCTGGAACAAGACTGAAGTCCTACAGGAGTTTACAGCCGGTGAAGGCGAAGGAAAAGAATTAAAGAGAATGGAAGCATGACAACCAATAGAACTAATTAAAGTACACAACGAACAATGTTTAACATTGTTTATTTTACTATTAAAGTTACATTGTTTGACCATCTTATCTTCTTCTAGTTTGTGTTTATCAGCTGTAAGCTCTGGCAGAAAGTTCTGATTGTTCATCCACTTTTGGATTTGTCTTATGCCATGCTAGTAGGTGGCAGTGGGTTTGTTCTTTATTTGTTGTCCCCACAATGAGGTCTGCAACCTACACTGGGAGTTTGTCTACCAACCTGAAGCCCTTGGCTTCACATGTGCTCTGTCAAGCAGATGTGTGTAACTGACCCTGGCTCCCAGGTTGACCCAGCTTAAAATGAGTACCAGGAAATATCCTGGGAAATAAAAGTGGTCAGCATATTGACCATATTACCCAAGTACCAAATGGTCTTTTTTTTTTAAACAGAAAAGTGGGTCAATCAAATATGCACAATATATAAATATACACAACAGACAAGCACTGATTAGCACTCATAGAAAGAAGCAGAAAGATAGAAAGGCACATCAGACATTTGCCAATGGCATAATAAATTCTTTATTTTTGACTTACCTGGTTTCTTTTTTGCCGCAGGTTTGGGTTTCTTTGTTTCTTTCTTCTGTGCTGGCTTTTCCTTCTTGCCATTTTCTTTAACTGATTTTTTAGGAGTGGGCTTTTTATGTTCTGTTTTTGCCTTCTTTTTTTTAGGGGCCTGAAATAGACAAACAAGTTTTGTCATGGATTTTCTATTCAGAATATTCAGGTGTGGGACTCGCCGTGGCCGAGCGGCTAGACGCTCGCCGCGGATCGGAAGGTCGTGGGTTCGCTCCCTGGCGGAGACAGACTTTTCTTCAAAAATGACTTTGGCTCTCAGGCCACCCAGCCTTGAGTGGGTACCGGGTGCAATCCCGGGAAGTAGAGGCGGCCGACGTGATGCTGACCACATCACCCATCTTGTGCCGTTGGTCTATAAAAATATAGGTCTAGCCCTATATGCCCTATACGCCTAAAAGCGTGGAAAGGGTCCTTTACTTTTTTTTTTATATTTAGGTGTGAGGAGTAATCAGCAAGATTAGAGATTTAAGTGCTCTTACTCCTGTAGAATGAATGTTGAACTTTGAATTAGGAATCGACATCACAGCACTTGGGACACTCCCATAAGTGCTCAGTCCCCATCTTTAGCAGCAACGAAGAGTTCCAATTCACATGGTACCAGTAATCGTCTGATTGTATATCTATCTCATCCTTCATCTGAGTGTCGAGTGTCAGCCAGATCCCCAGGTAACTCCTCGCAGCGCCATTCTTCTTAGACGGTAATGATCTATCTGCGCCTCTGCACTGTTTACTCGCTTCCAAAGGGCCCTCACAATATCTAACTTGTCATACATCAATTCACCACCAAGTGATGCAGAGCCAGCCAGTCTATCTGCCTGCCTATTTCCCAACACACCGGCATAACCTGGAGAAAAAATCCAAAGGGTGCTAACTACCCAGGACCCCTGAAGTGATGATTGCCACTCTGCACGAAGCACGCCTGTTTTCACTTTTCTCAAAAAAAGCCGGCAGTAAACTTGAGGTTACCATGGTAAGGTGCATTACTACAAAGTCAAATCAACTTATAATGAAGCTCAGAAAATGACATCTTTTTCGCTTTAATATATAAATTGCACTGATGCCTCTTCAAAAACAGTGTATAGTCTGCCAAATGTGCAGTTGGCCTTGGAGATCATCATCGTCGATTGTGACATTTAACGCTATCTTAACAACAGTATTAAAATACAACATAAACAAATTGTTAATGTTAGTAATATAAGTAGCATGTTTACCTCATCTTCTGATTCTTCTTCTTCTTCTTCCTCTTCCTCCTCTTCTTGTTCTTCTTCCTCCTCCTCCTCCTCCTCTTCATCTTCAGCACTGTCACTACCTGGAGAATCATCATCATCTTTGTTAGCCTTCCCTTTCTTTGCTGGTTCTTTTGATTTCTTCCTTTTTGTGCCCTTTGTTTTTCCACCAGCAGATTTTGACCTCTCTGTAACAGCAGATACAATTATTCAATTAATTAAATCAAATTATTCAATCACATACAAATATCCAATTATTATTGTGGTTGTGGAACTGGTGTTGTGACAACACATATACATAAACAATACATAAGAACAGGTTTGAGAGTGGGATAAAAGAGAGTCACTTGGTTTACTGTTACAACTGTAGTAATAGGTAGGGTAGTGGCTAGTTGTCTGCACACCAGCCAGAAAGTCTTAGGTGAAAAATCTAAATCAATACAAATCTAAATCAGGCAGGTTAAAAAATTAACCTTGACTTCAACGTCTGCAAAGCCTAAAATGGGTACCAGGTAATGCCCTCTGAAGTAAAAACATCTGGCATGATGCTATCACATCACCGAATGAGTGCCATTTGGTCTATAAAATGGGGTGTGCAACCTTCATATTTTTTCGACCTGCAAGCCAAAATGCAAAATTTAGAACTACCAACCTAGCCGTGGCAATATAGAAAAAAAAATTCACTATGGACTAACACCCAGGTGTCCTTACTTTTGTTTAAGACTAGTTTTGCCTACTATTGCTAATTCTCACTTGCAGCTGACACCAACGCGTATTTTACCCTTTTTCATCTACTTCAAACAAAACACAACTCAAATGACCTATAAAAGACAGCTGCAACTGTAATATCCCACACACAAATGCCACTAACCTATTTCGTCACAGGACAGTCCAACAATTTAGAGGGTGGTAAGACTGGGTTTCCCTGCTTTCTGATGCTTTTAACAACCCCAAAACATCTAGAACTGGCCCTAACTCCAACCCACCTACATCCCACAGACAGAGTGCAGCCTAAGTCCCATGACTGTATGTAGCCTAGGTCCCACAACTGCATGCAGCCTATCTACCATCCCCTGAAATATTAGACTGTCCCGTGACCTGTGGATTTCCCCCGTTTTGGGCAGGATATTAGGAAAACACCCCTATTTCCCCATTGAGGTTGGGGGAAACCACTGCAATACTAACAAGCATGTCATAAAAGGTGACTAATTAGGTGTTTACTTCTTTGCACTCACTGGCTGTGAACTCTTATGGAATGCTCTGGTCTTGTTTGAGAACTTGAGGTTTGTTTGCACATACTTTTAAAGATCTGGCTTAGTTGTATGCAGACAGCTGGTTCCTCGCCTCTAAGGCAGATAAATCTTAACTTCGAAGGAGGGGAGTTTACTTAAATCAGAAATGTGTTGGGCCGAAAGATGCAGATACAGCAGCCTGGCTGTAAACCCCAACACAACATGGCAATGTACCTTTAACGGGCAAATACAGAATAAGAACTCACTTTTTGTCTTGCTCTTGACATTCAGACCTTTGTCTTTGGGCTTCATGAGAAAATCCATCACCCTGTCAACTAGATTCACTTTAGTGCCTCCTCTTTCAAGCCCTAATGCGAGACATATAGCTTTCAGTTCTGCCAATACCAGTCTGAAATAGAAACATTTAAGAATGATAAACATGTCTGCAAACAACACATTCCGAAAACTCCCCACACCAGCAGATGTTAATGTGCATGTATTTAATACAAAACTGGAGTCGCCGTGGGTTCGCTCCCTGGTGGAGCCGGATTTTTTCAAAAATGGCCTCGGCTCCCAGGTCGACCCAGCCTTGAGTGGCTATCGGGTGCAGTCCCTAGAAATAAACGCAGCCAGCGTGATGCTGACTACATGACCCATCTTGTGCTGATTGGTTTATTTAAAAAATATAGGTCTAGCCCTATATGCCTTAAGGCGTCAAAAATGGACCTTTTTTATTTAATACAAAGAAGCTGTTAGCGTAGACTTAACCTTTCGCCCCTAAAAGACTAAACCCAGGTACTTCTGACTGTGACACAATCTCGTAAATGCTTACGTGTGACCATGACTGTAATTACCTATTCTCAAATAGTGCAATAGATTCCACTGGTCCTGTGCTATGTGCGCCTGTGCAGTGTTTGATAGGCCAGGATATTAATACAGTAACAAACAAAACAAAAAATGTATGGGATTTCCAGCTGTCACAGAAGGTTTAGAAAAGAATTCTCGCATGCTGTATAAAGCCAGTTTTAACATATGGCTGTGAATTCTGGATTATTAATAAACAGGCCAAACAATTTCTTGAGGTCTCAGAGATGTGGTTTTACATAAAGAATCTATAGAATTCCTTGGACAGCTTTAAAAAAAAAAAGCAACCCAGTTGTTCTGACTGAGATGAGTTTTTCAGTCAATGTTTTAAGCACCCAGAGACAATGGTTTGGGAACAAGTTTCACTGCTGACATTTAGAGATACTGTGCTACTCATATTTTGTGGCCAAACTGCACTCAATGGGTGAAAATAGCCCACATGGACTACTACATTTCCCTAACACATTTTAGGTACGAATTTCTATGATACTGCTGAATCTGGAGTCATGCTGAAAGGGTTTTGAATTCAGTTCTGCTGGACTGGCATGCAAGAACACCAGCCACTAGGCATACACGGCTCCATAAAAGCACTAACTAATACACAGAGAACAAAAAGAGGTAGGGATAGGGGAAGAGAGGAAAAAGAAAAATGACTAAAGGAAGTGACATAATCATACTTACTTGTTCAAACATGCTACTCTCTTCTCATGTTCCTTTGAGTCCTTTCCATGTGTGAAACCACTAAACTGTCTGATATTTTTCTTGATTTCATTATTTGCTCCAACACGAAGGAATAAAACTCTGTGAAGGGGTTTCAAATCGACGGCCTTGGTGATATTCAACTGGTGCTCGACTGTAACAAACAAAACAAAAAAGAACTGAAACTTAGAAACTGCTTCAGAATAACTCACAAACAATTTACTTATATGGATGTTGTGAATTATATAGCTAATTCATCAGTATGACCCAGGTTGACTAGCCTAATACTGGTACCAGGAAATGTCATGAGAAGTAAAGAAGGTCAGCATTGCGTTGACCACAACACTCATGGACATGGCGTGTTGACTGGTCCATAAAAATGACCCTAGCTTCAGATGCATGATGCACTACAGGTACAAAAAGCGTCATTCACCTTTATTTATTTATTTTTATATATAAGTTCAACAGAAGCAAACTGACAGGTGCAGCATATTACTTAAAGTAGGACAATTGTCCTTTTTTTGATCACACTAGAAGAGAGGGTCTGAAAATACAGTGAATAACAGAGAAGTCAACAGACAAACTGATTCCAAACATAAAGACGATAGGAATCTAATGATACTGGAAATTATGGTCTCTGAAGAAAAAGCAAAGAATATTATGGACACACACAAAAATGGATAGGACAGCCTTTCAAGAAACACGAAAATCGTGTTTGAAAATCAAGAAAACAAACACTTGTCTGATATTCTTGTGATCATAAGAGAAGGCAAACAATGACAGTGGAATGTTTATTGGCCTGGCTGATGACAAAATCTAGGCAAAGTGAAACTAGTATACCTCCACTCACATTTGATTTTTCTCTCTGTTATTTCTTCAGGAGTAGTTGGTCAACCGGTTAAAGCAACTGATTCTTATTCTTTTAAAAACCATAACTAGAACAATAAGTTGAAACAAGCGAGCAAGAAGGAAACAATTCCAGTACAAGGATCATGATCATCAAGTGCCTTGCCAGTTGGCGCAGGTGTACATGCATCTCCACAGATCTCGGTCTTTGGTGCTCTTGATCAATTCCACTGATGATATTTCTCTATGCCACTGTCTTAAGCCATCCACCATCATTTCTCTTAGTTTGCCTCTTCTAACAGTGATCTTTCCAGTCATCACAATATTTTCCAGTGCTCCTTTTCTCATCACATGACCTAAGAACTTTCTCCTTCTCTTTGTCATATACAGTGTTCTACAACAATGAGAAGGAGATAAATATCATTTTAGTGGTTTCACACATGGAAAGGACTCAGAGGTATATGAGAAGAGAGTAGCACGTTTGAACAAGTAAGTATGTTTGTGCCACTCTCTTCAGTCATCTTTCTTTTTCCTCTCTTTCCCCTCTCCCTACCTGTTTTTGTTCTCTGAGTAGAAGGATAACATCAAGAAATGAATGAGCAACAGTCTGAGACTGTACAACCAAACACTGAGTGTGTTGAAGATCTATTGCAGACATGGTAATGGATTGAAGAAAGACATTTAACATGGTTATTTCCTTACCAAAATGATCTCTTTTCGTAAATGTTGAAGTGTTTTAATTACCACATTTCTATAACGTGGTGTAGCGGCTAGATCACCTGAGGATTGGAAGGTGATGGTTGACCCATCCATGAGTGGGTAACCCAGGTAGTCCTGGGAAGTAAAGGCGGTCAGCATGGTGTTGACCACATCACCGAGTGCCAACTGGTCTATAAAACATAGGCCTAGCACTACATGCAAGATATGCCTGAACCAATGTGAAAAAGGGACCTTCTCTGAAAGGGAACAGTACTAATAAACCACATGAATTACTACAAAAACTTACTGTATGGGATGTCACCAAGCTTCTTTCCAGTTCCTTTTTCAATCTCAAGCTTTTTCTTTTCTGTTGGAGAAGTGATCATTGATGCAGAGAGTCTCTCGACCTTCTTCTTTTCTCTTTTACCTTCCACTTCCAGTGGGCGCTCAAGAAGTCCAGCTACAATAAGGGATGAACAGATGCATTCATTTCTAGTCGTCAGCTTCAAAAAAGCAAACTATGTATTCATGCATTTCAGAAGAAAAACTGGATTGGCAATTTAGACAACAGATCATGTCCTCCAAGACTGTCTCAAATACAACATATCAAGGCAAATTTTTTGCCCAGCGAAACACCTGTGGCAAGGCAAACTTTACGGGTCACTAAGTGAATTACAACACACAGTGAAGTTCACACTAGAGACAACATTGCAGAAAAAGATAATCTATTTCAACCGAATGAAAGAAGAAGAAAAAGAAGAAGAAAGACTAAACCCAGCTTATAGACAAGATAACACTAATCATTAGGATTGTTAAAATTCTTCTTAAGTTCAACTCGCTATCAATTCTACAAATTTCAGTTCTCCACACTAATGTTATATCATTTTTAGATTGACAAGGCACAACAGACCACCAGCATGTGTTCAAGTTTGTGTGTGTGTAGCTAAGATAGAGCACCAAAAAAAACGGCTTACATTAAGGCTACCAGCCTCCTGATATACGTTTTCTGACAGAAGGGTTTTCTTCTACGTGTTTATCAGCTGTAAACTCCAGTTCCAGAACTCAAGTTGTGAGTGTACATCCATTTTACAGATCTGTTTTATTTGTAAGCAGGCGGTCGGTTCCTAACCTCTAAGGCAGATGCACTCAGAAAGAACATCCCTAATTAGACAACTTTTATGACAAGTTTGTTGGGGGGGGGGGGGGGGGAAAGGGTCCCATTAGCCCTGCCCCCACCCCAAAAATATGGCCCCAAAATCCACTTGGGGGGGGGGGGGGAGACATGGATACAAGAAGAAATACATTAACAGATACATTTTTAAAAAAGGGTTTTATTCCGCCCATATGGCTTAATCTCTTTCAACAAAATCTGATGGACTAAAAAGAGTATCAGAAAGTATGCAACTCTGTAGCTGTAGTGGCAAATGTCAAGGCAATTAAAGCACCTGCATTCGTAAAAGCATTTTAGACCGAATTCACATCCATAACCTTCATGGCCCAAGGAAAGTAACCTAACCACCTTGTCACTGCCCCTATCGCCTCCAATAGAACACTTAGTAGTTGGTCATACCAACAAAATAGTGTTAATGCCCCATTTACCACCTAGTGCAGGGCTACTCAACTATGTTTACTTCAGAGGTCAACATCTCAAAAATGGGGAACGTCACAGACCAGGTGCCTGAACCCTAGCATAGGTAGATCTGCAGTCATTTGCTAGGCCTTCACGGCCCAAATTTGGCCCACAGGCCACTAGTCGAATCACCCTGATCTAGTGCATTAAAAAGTGTATTTAAAATGGCAACAAGAATAGTTAATACTGTTTAAACTATCAGTGTACCTCAATGAGTAAGCTGGTTTAAAGTTCTGATCACAGATAAATCAATCAAAATGTACGCTACAGTACTCACGAGGTAACTCCTCATCGTCGTCGTCTTCATCCTCATCATCATCTTCAATTTCATCCTCTGTTTCCTCTTTCTTTTTGGCTTTTTCCTTTTTTACAACTTTGTCCTCTTTTTGGTCTTTCTCCACTTTTTTGGGACTTTTTTCTTCCTCCTTTTTGGCAGCATCAGGTTCATCTGCTACTTTGCTCTCTGGTTCACTTTCCTTATTATCACTGACAGTCTCATTTGATTCTGTAACACTGTCCTTGACTTCAGGCTGGGAAAAAAACATGAGTGTAATCGTTACTTTTATTTACATACATTTAACTTGTATCTGAGTACATTATTAAAAAAATTTTTACAGCTTTTATTACTTTACCTAAATATTTTTGCTTAAATTCAATATTAAATGCCAAATCTACATTTCCCGAAGGAACAGTAAAAGACTACTTTCCATGTCCTTTGAGTACCAAGGAACATCAACTGTCCTCAGGTACCAAAAGATTAAACTGGGTATATGTTGCTACCCCAGTCAGCAGGAGCCACAGGTGACGCATCATGGTTAACTAACATGGTCTTCATTCTCAAAAAGATCCTGACATCGTCATGGTCTTCATTCTCAAAAATATTTTCTCAGATGCGAAACTACTTTCAGTCATTAAGGTGATAATTACACAGATGGGTCTGTTGTTTATTGTTAGACACCAGCAAGCTCATGGGCTTTTACGGTTCAGGTCAGAGAGGGTTGTGATAGAAGACTGGTGATTTGTGCCTTTATTACAGTACCCTGACTATAAAGGTTATAGCAATAGTTAAACTAAAGCCAGAACAATAACAGTAACAGCAGACAGACTAACAAACCACCAGTGTGTGCTTTCTCAGTGAAATTACAACTGGAAAAAGAGGTAGGTGGACAAGACCCCAGAACAGATGTTGGCATAGGTGGCTATCTTCTGAATAACAGTCCCAAATTATCGAGCCCAAAAATATACCCTAACAGGGCCTCAGTCACATGTAAATTGCGGACTTCCAGCAACTAAATTGTGGACTTCCGGCGACTGCTGCCACCGTGGATTGGGGCTAAACTAGATGGCTGGGACTCATGAGCAGCAGCTACTGCATCTCCTGCAGCTTCCTTCATTTTATTTGCTCGTGAGTTCCAGCCATCTAGTTTAGCCCCAATCCACGCCGTGCGTAGCGGCATGGAAGATGCTCTCGGCGGTGGCAGAAGTCTGCAATTTACATGTGACTGAGGTCCTGTTATGGTATATTTTCGGCCTTGATAATTTGGGACCGTTTTTCAGAAGATAGCAGAGTAGGTAAAAGCAGACACACTCATATACACAAAATTTTGCATTTTTTGTGTGCTAGGGTTACAGATGTATAGCCATCTCGTCATCAAGATACACAAACTGTGACAAACAGCGGCAAAAGACACGCGACTCTCCCAAAACGTATAGGCCTTATAATTGGTTCTCCTTGCAAAAACGGTCGCTACTTGGATGGCGACTGCCGCTTAGTCGGAGTTCAGTCCTCTGGCTGCAGTGCAATTACGGAGTGGACAAAGCACGAATCACAAAACAAAATTGAGTTCAACATGGCTTCTAGACCATGCGCTGCGACTCACATTAGCGACGTTACATGTGTTACCCTAACCCTAACCCACCCCTAATTATGTCCGTTTCGTTCCCTCTTTTCCACTTTGTAATTGCACTGCAGGGAGGGGACTGAACTCAGACTGAGCGGCCGTCGCCGTCCAAGTAGCGACCGTTATTGCAAGGAGAGCCGTATAATTTATACTTACTATAAATAACAAGTGACACGGACTGAACCTGATATTGGATATCATGTCATATATTATTAGCGACTACAGTTTCGACAATTTACGGTCTTTTTGGCAATTTCCGTTACCATGGAAACCGTTTGAAACTTGTTTGGGAAATGTCGGCTGGGGTTTCAGGATGGGTCCTAATCTCTCATGAAATTTTGCAATTGGTGTGATTTTCACCATCTATAAATGGCTGAAAACGGCGGGAACGAACCCGATTAACAGCGCATGTCTACGACAGCCGGACGTCCTCTGTTTTTCTGTTACATCAGTTTGATTGAAAATAGCGATAAGTATTCAAAGTTGGCTTTAGGCCTTAAACATTACCAGACATGGTAATGCTAGTTCTAATTGAATTCTCCGTCCAATTTTACATTTGTGTATAAAATTTCTTTCTTATCTGTGGCTGTTTAGATTTACAGTGACATTTTTCATGCAATCGCTATTATGTGGCTGTGTCTGAGAAAAATTGTCTGCCATCTTGTCCAAGAAAACAAAGCCAAAACGAAAGTTGCGCAGAGTGAGAAAACATCTTGTTTCTCAGACACAAGTTTTAGCAGCTGTTTTTTACATCTCATCTCCACAAAAACCTACATATTTCAGCTCAGAAATGACATACAAGCCTAAATGGGGTACCGTTGGAAAGAGATTGTTTACAGCTATCTAACTGTGCTGGTTTTATTGGTGTAGAGGCCCCCTAAGAGGGCATTTTAAAAATTTGACTAAAGTATCTATTATTATTTCGTAGGGGATCAGAGTATTTGCGGACTCAATGCTTCCATGTGCAGTAGGGATAATCTCTCGACTAATTAACTAATATTGTGAAGTTTACAGGTCGTTTTGTTGGTAACCCTCAATATGTAATTTATCCAGAGAAAAATTTCAGTGTGCGTCCTCCTAATCCTATCGAAATTAGGTTACTTTATAGGTAACTTTGCATGTTACATTGAAATCTTAAGCGAATATATTGTTGGCGCTTCTGCAATGTCGCTGCCGCAGTAACATCTTTAAAATAACTATTTATTTACTATACCAACCTTTTCATCGCCTGATCTTGATTCGTTTTCGTCGTCAGCCATTCTAATGTTTCCGTCAAACAAGCAGGAAAATGGCGCATGAGTTGAAACTGACCAATAGCGGCGCTTCTCTGCTTTCAATAATGAGTTCTCATTGAGTAAGAGCTAGTTATTTACATTTCTATTTTTTTTTTAAATCTCATGGGGATATTATAATTCTTATCATGTTCTACTAATTACTTATCTCTGTGTATTTTAAAAAAAAATAAGATAAAAAAACTTAACTTTTTTTTAAATTTATTTGTTAACTGTTACTTTATAGTAATATTTTAAGATTGCAAAATAAAACCTCCCGTAAAATGTATATAACAAAAACATACAAAAAGCGCGGGTTATCAGTTAACCTCGTACTATATAGATATCCTTACGTCCTTTTTAGGACGTAATTTTTTGTTATTTGAAGCCCCAGTCTGGCTTTTGCCACGGGCCGCAATATAGGCAGGCCATAAATATGGCCAAATGTCTGAACGCGGTTTCTGGGACCTCTCCACGGCGATCCTCATTCACATGGTGGCACTTTGTGTGATCGGATGTTTATCGCTTGTGTGATGTCCTGGTGGGGTAGAAATTCAGTTCAGTTAACCTCGTCCCAATGTGGGACGCATTTCTTGTTATTTCAAAACCTCATTCCGGTTGTAGTCGGAAGCCCTAGTATAACTTAACGATTGAACGGGGTTTCTGAAATTTGTACCTGGGTAATTTGCATCCGAGTGTTGGCACTTTGTGTCACTGGGTGTTTGTCATTCGTTGACCGGTCCTGAAAAATGCATGAAGCTCTGGGTGCAGTTAAGGGTCAGCGGCTGATAAGAGGGAGGTCATGAACGGCTCTGGCAGAAGACACAATCAGACAGGTTTTCATCCTTGAAAACATTAGGCGAGGAGAGGAGTGGGTCAAAGTGCCACCTGAACAGTCAGACTTGTGTGGAAATTCAGCAATTAATTCAAGATAATGCTCGCTCAAAGGATTTGATCATTTACACAGACGGTTCAGTGTCAAGAGGCAAAAGAAGTGCTTAGGGCTTCTTAGCAAATGTTAATGGTCGACGTTTGGTGCAGGAGAGCCTAGCGTATGATACCACAAAATCCAGCTTAAGAATAGAGGTGGAGGCGGTCACTGCAGCTTTCCGCTGGCTAGAGAACACCACACATACACACACGCGCACACACACACATACATCGTGATTGTAACTGATTCAGAAAGCATGCTGAGGAAGATCAGAACAGGCATGCTTCGTGCAGAGTGGCATGCTTCGCTACGGAGGACACGGGGGAGGAGTATTGTCTGGATTTTATTCACCGGGCAAGCCAGTGTGTTGGGAAATGAACAGGCGGACAGACTGGCTGGATCTGCACAACTTGGTGGAATACTGATACATGATAAGGCAGACGTGGTTGGTGCCTTGTGGGAGAGCTTGTACAGTTCGGAGGAGCAGATGGATCACCACAGTCTGGTGAGATTGATGCAGGGAAGGGGGGAGGGGGAATGACGAGAGGTTCTGGCAGATGCTCGGGGCTCAGAGGAAAGGCAAGACGGACGTTTAATCAGAATGCTACTGGCACCATTAGTATCGGAACTCTTCGCTGGCTGCTCAAGATGGGGACCGAGCGCTTATGTGAATGCCCCGAGTGCTGTGATGTAGGTTCTTGAATCAAATCAAATCAATGAGTGGTCCTGGTGGGGTTGAACGTCACTCACTCAGAGCGGGGCGCATTAGTCCTTACTCTTTACTCCCACAGGACTGCAGGTTTTTCCCTGATGGTGAAGGTTCTTTTACTTCGAGTTCACCAGCTGTAAACTCCGACGCAAGGATCTGGTTGTTTGACCACCGCTGACTTTAGTCTTGTTGTAATACTTAGGTTTTGCGTGCGCACCCATTTTGCAAATCTGACATATTTGCATGGAGACGTTGGTTCGTTGCCTCTCATACAGATGCACCCTGACATTGAAGGAAACTCCTCATTAGTCAACTATTAGACTATTACCACAAGCTTGTTAGGAAGGCAGTGGGACTATTCTCCCCCCCCCCCCCCCGATAATGAAGCCCCAGAAACCACACGGGGACTTTGGTTGTTAAGCTGGTACATGGGATCTGCCATACGTGTCAGCCTTTAGGCAGCAGTCCGCAGGGTCAAATCGATCGTGGAAATGCCGCGTCGATTACCACCCGCCCCTGAGAGCTGTCTAAGGTTTGTAAAATTCGCTGACCTTGTTCTACATCTGTATTCATTTTTTAAACTGTTTTTACGAATCCGCCTGGACTTTCACTCAGTCACTGAGGAAAAAGATTGGAGCTTTTGAATTGAAATGTTACGGAAAAATTCTTAGAATACCATGGATCAAGAAAATGAAAAAACATCGACATTCTGAACGAATTGAACATCTAGGAGAACTGGCTCATAAACAGCATCCTATCCCAAAAGTTGAAGTATTTTGACCACGTCAAGCGTCACGGTGGTTTGAAAAAGACGGTGATAGATAGTGCAGTTTGTGGAAGGCAAGGCAGGGGTCGACCACCGCAAATATGGATTCCGGACATTAAAGAAGCATTGGCATTGAAAACACATGGGGCCGGAGAGCTGACTAGAGAAAGGTATACTTTCAGGCGTGCCGTGAAGAGAGCGATGTTATGTAAAGGACTTGCTGATTGATGATTGGGGTGACACTTTGCTGCAAAGTCGTTGACACATATACGTGACTTTGTTTCTAGACAGGTAAACGAAGATAGCGCGTAGTGTTGTGGCCAATTTTGACTCACTCAAGTTCGTATTCCAAATAAAGGCTGCATACTAAGCAAACTTTTTCTCGTCTAAGCAACTTCAACTAAGTTGAAAAAGTATCGAAGCAAAAATATATTGTGCTACCAGTGTAGTTCGGTCACATCATCATCATTATTGTCCTATTATGCTGTTATATGTCACATACGTCTCCGAGGCTGCCTCCATTCTCTTCTGTCCTATGCAATCCTTTCGATATCACAGATGAAATCTAATCTAACACTTTTATCCTCTCTCGTCGTTGTTCGTTTGAGGATTACTTTTGAGCGTCAACGTTTCCCCAGTCTGTGTATTTATAATTTTAGTGCCTTTCTCGGAAGCTGAGATATTTTGGTCATATCAAGCACAATAATGGATTGGGAAAATAATAGCAGGGCATGGTGCTAGGAAGGAGGGAAAGGGGCCGACCAACACAAAGATGGGCATAGGATATAAGTGACCCATTGAATATGAAAATACACGAGTCGGGAGAGCTGGCAGGAGACAGTTTTCTTTCAAACAGATCATAATGAGAGCGACGTTCTGCAAATGACCTGCTACACGATGATGAGTGCCTGTCTAGGGATTCTCTGCTCTTTTCTTCTCAGGAAGTGTCCATTATAATGCCTTCTTCTTTGTTATATTACTATTGTTACGAGTGGTTGCCCAGACATTTTTCGTTTTCCTTACTCTTTTGAATTCATCGAAGAATTAGTAGTAGTACATTTTACCCCACTAGGACATTACACAAGCGATAAACAACCGATGACACAAAGTGCTATCATGTCGATGAGGATCACTCTTGGAGAGGTCCCGGAAACCGCGTTCAGCCATTAGGCCATATTTATGGCCGGGCTATATTGCGGCCCCTGGCAAAAGACAGGATGGGGCTTCAAAATAACGAAAAATTGCATCCCACATGGGGATGACTAAGTTCCTGTTTATCGAAGAAGAGGAGGGCAAAGAAGAATTTTGAATGACAACACCAAGAAATAAACATAACTAAATTATCATACACTTGTTATACATATGAAGACAGAAAGATATCGAGTTTTGTGTGTTAGTGCTTCCATTCTAAATTACATACGAAGACAGCAAGTGAAATGGTTTGCCGACTTAGAGAGAATGCCTTGTGACACCATACCATACAAAGCATACATGGTAACTAAAGCTTTCGATTTTTATGTTGTCTAGTGTGTTCTTCTATCTTTCTACTTCTTTTTATGAGTGCCGTTCACATTACTTTCTGTTACTTGATTAATTCATAATATTTAACGGCCTCAAATGGTTCCCCCCTCTGTTTATTTATGAAAAGAGAAGAAGGACGTAGAGCACGAGGTAGACCAAGAACAAGATGGAAGGATAACATCAGAGAAACTCTACAACAGCACGATGTGCCTACGGTCGAGGTGGCCAGAAGAGCTAGAGACAGAACCCTATATCTCCCTCGACACCCATAGCGCTAAAAAAGGAAATGAAGAAGAAGTGCTTCCATCGATTCACCTCCACCATCCTAAGCGGTCAAGGATAATCTTATGTTCAACATTTTCCTCAGGTATTTGTTTTCAAATACCGTTTACTTTCATTCCAAAGCTTTGATGGTTCTTCAACTTTCACTGGCATATATTAATAACCATACTGAAAGGGAAATTCGTCAATTGAGGGGAAGAAGTAGGCAGCGAAACAAGTGGAATGACTGTATCAATAGATGGGTGAATTCTATCTGAGAGAGTGTGTGAGATACATAGAGTGTTGGAGATCCACTGCAGTCAGATGCGCCGAGTCAAATAAAAAAAGATGGGGTACCTAGTTACAATTTTTCAAGAGGGTGGGATTCAATGGCTTAAATCTTGTTTGCTTTCCTTCTGTGGGTTACGGGGCCCCATCGTGAGGAAAACAAGAATAGACACACTGCCTCTCCAACAAGCATGTCATAGGAGTAGACTAATTGGGGCATCCTTCGAAGTCTGAGTACATCTGCCTGGGAGGCATATGAATACAAATGAGCCAGATCTGTCAAACAGATGTGTTCGCAACACAGGCTCATGAATAATGCAAAGTCTGGGGGTGGGTGGACAACCAGAACCTTCCGCCGAAGTTTAAAGTCGAACAAGAAGAAGTTTAAGTGCCTAAATAATGGTAGTAGTAATAATAATAATAATAATAATAATAATAATAATAATAATAATAATAATAATAATAAAAACTAATAATAATAATAATAATATGCGGAATGGCTAAAACATAAT